CCATAGAGTTGTCTTGAAGTTGCATTTGCAGAACAAGCTCAGTGTATTTGCTTAGATCATATTTTATAGGTCAATACCATCAAAGCACTTTCTAAAGATGCTTTATTTACACTTTATATAAGAATAAGGAAGTATCAATTGTCTATATCAATGAATGTGTTTTTCTTGACTATTTTTAATTTGGGATACTTTTGGGAGGCTGATGGAGATTATGAAAACCTAAAACTCTCTTCACATTATAAAGTCCAGCATCCTCTTTTACACGTTAAGTGATATTTTCATTATGTGATCTTCAACATTCTAACCTGGACATGTCCAAATTTCCTTGCCTTTTTTTCCTTTGAAGAATGCCTATTCAAAAGGTCATGGCCAACATGACCTAAACACAGTTATTTCATCCAAATTATTTTGTGTTTATAAGAATAATGTCAATTATGAAAGCTGTCTTTTCTTAAAGATACCGAAGAAGTTTGATATGCAAATCTGTCCTTTGACAACAGTGTTTCCTGAAGGCTAGATAAGGTGCTATAAAATGATTCACAACAGATTATAGACAAATTCATTCCCTGAGTGGTTTCTGAAGAAGGCACATTGTTCCTTCTTTCCTTTTAGGACCTCGTGTCTTCTACCCAAAGTTCCCGTGATCCAAATAGGTCCCTTGTTTTTCCAATGTTGTTGAATGATATCAACACTGGATTTAGAGGAAGAAGCTCTAGATTTCATTAACTGTGATACCCAATACCTGTGAGTCCTTCAAATCAATCATGTTGTTTCTCTAAATCTCACTCTGTATCTGTAATGATAATAAAACCATGCTATCTATATCAAAGTGTTATATGAGGCAGTATATATAACAATTTTCTGCTAAAAGACAATAATTAAATAAGATGGAAAATTCCCTATATCCATGTGCTTAATTTCCTGGAGTTACGTACAGCAAGGCATACAATTTGATCATGATGGTGTTCTTTCAAAAAGCAGCTTGGTGGTAGTTTGGTAGACTAGGAGCAGTGTGATATATGCTGTGTGGAAGCATTATCTGATGCTTCTTACCCTCATCTACTTTAGGTTACTGTTGAATCCCATCCAGATCCCTCTTCTGTTAGAAGTCAACATTCAACCTTCCAGCAGCTTAACACTGCATATCTAAAAGAATTCCTAAACTTCTGGCTATATCTGGATTCTTACAGGGTGCTTTTTCTCTATTGTGCAAAATATAGATTATAGAATATTTACAATTTTAACAAGTTTTAAGTGTAGAGTTCTGTGGCATTAAGTGCTATCATCACCACCATCTGTACACAGAACTTTTTCATATGCTCCAGCTAAAATGCTGTACCCATTAAACACCACATTCCTATTCCCCCTCACCCTAGCCCCTGCAACCACTCAGGGTGAATATTTTAATTACATCCAATTAAATCCCCTCTGTATACACAGGGGATTTGTTCCAGGACCTCCTGCCTATTACGCACTGGCCTATTACTGAATCTATGTGTACTAAAATCCCGGAGTCTGCCCTGGGGAACCCTCCTGTAAGAAAAGTCAACCCTCAGTATATGCAGGTTTTGTATCCCATGAATATTGTATTTTCCATCTGTGTTTGGTTGAAAAAGAAGGCACGTAAAAGTGGACCAGCGCAGTTCAAACCCATGATGTACGAGGGTCAAGTGTACTAGCATACTAGTTAAAATAGTGACAATGGCTATAACAAATAAGCCCTAAAATATATGATGACTTAAAGCTATTTCTGACTCTGTAAGGTATAAAAAGGATGTTCCTAATTGATAGGTGATGTGTTTCATTAACTCTTCTCCTGAATTCTTGCAAATTTTGACCCTTCCGTCATCAATATATGCCTTCCAAGGTCACCATACTTGTCTACTCCAAACCAACAGGTAAACGAAGAGAACATGGATGATTACCCATGTGTGCTTTCTCTAGGCCAGGCCTGGAATTAGCACACATCACGTACACCCAAATTCATTGATTAGACTCAGTCACATGGTCACAAAGGAAGGCTGGGAAGTATAGTCTAGCACACGAAGAAGAAGAAATTTGGGGTTTGAGGATGAGCCAGCCAGTCTCCGCCATATCAGCCAAATTAAGTGTGTACTTATGCCCAGGAATCACCATTCATGCACTTAGGAACTTTTTATTTTTCTTCTTTAAAACCTAATTTTCCCTGGTAGAAAAAAAGGTTGCACTTTAAATATCTCCACAAACAAACCAAAACTGAATGGCAAAATTAAAATGTACATATAATTTTGCTGACAGGCAAGAGATATTATCTAGAAATAGAAACCTTAAGAAACAATTCACAATCTCAGAAGGAGTTCCTTCTTCACTTAGTTTAATCAATTATATGGTAGAGGCCAATGAGGATATCTAGAATGTCTAGGTCTAGAATCATATGTGTTCTTAAAGAATATTCCAGTAGTTATCATTTCTTAAATGTCCGCATCCATATCTATAGGGTTTGTCTTCTCTTAATAGGTACTGTAAATCCCACTATGATCAGCCTATTAATTCATTTGTTTGCAACACCGAGGAAGTTGGTAATTGGTAATTGTATGGAACACATGTAGATGTGGCTTAAAGAACAAGGCAAGCAAACGTGTTAGTTTCTCTTCACCCGGAAAGGAATCTACTTCCTTTCACTAATTGCACTTAAAGTAACCACAGGAGCCCAAGCTCTGTACATAGAAACACTTAGCATCTGCGTTTTCTTTTCCTACAATGAAAGAAAATACATAAATGCATTTGTTGGCAATACTGACAAAGACCAATTTGTAGAATAATTGAAACCTTGATTTCTGTCATTAGCTGGATGTTTACAAAATGCATCTTCCTGTCTATATCCCAGATGTTTCTTCTTATTTTAATAGCTCTTTGTTTGTCATGAGTTTTGAATTCTAAATTGTAAAGTGTCAAGGAAAAAAGACGTCAGTCAGTTTGCAAGTTTCACGGAGAATGATATAAGCTTAAACTTCCCAGAAACCTTGCAACATTTATTTGTAGGTCCTTTGAGTTAGTTTATTTCCCCATAGTAAGCCTCAGAGGTCTTGAATTGTGTCCCAGCATCAATGTTAAATGAGTTAGCAACTTTTTGTTTCACCTCACTACTCTGGCACATCAAATAAAAGTTTCGGCTAAAAATATTCATTTTGGAATAATCTTTCTTTGCGACTTTGATTTCCTAGGGAACGAGCATTGAATACAACCCAGCCTGGGTCTCTTCAGCTCACTGTGGGAAACCTGAAGCCAGAAGCCATATACACCTTCCGTGTTGTGGCGTACAATGAGTGGGGGCCAGGAGAGAGTTCTCAGCCCATCAAGGTGGCTACTCAGCCTGAATGTGAGTATGGAAAGGGAAGGGCGGTATTTAGAAAGTATTTATTTTCTTCTGCAATATCCTTGAATCCATTCACAGAACTTTTTTGAGGTGACAAAATGGAAGAAAGATTTTTTTTTAAAGCACTTACCTATGTAACTCCTTTCAATTTTAAGGATTTTTAAAAGTAAGATAACTTTTTAACCAAATGGCCTCCTCACGTAGGCAATGTTTTCATAATGACAAATGAACAACCATAAAGGCCTAATCCATCCATATGGTCTACATATTCATTTCCTAAGAAAGTGATTGACTCTGCCTAATAGTATTTCTTCTTCTTCATCATCATCATCATCATCATCATCACGGATTTCAGCCTCCTCCACTGATTTTTCAAATTTTCTGAATTTTTCTATGACAAGTGTAACATCAAAGGTAAAAGAACAATGGCATAGAACTTCTAAATACAGGGACTTATTTAAAAACTTAAACATGCACTGTATGTACTCAAGAAGCTACCAAAAGTAGACCGAGACTGGAGGAATGTAGGAGATAACCTCTGTTGAGCAATCTCACTGTCCTCTAACTTGAAACACTGTATCAAGCTACTTAATCACAAAGTAAAGCAGCTGAATGTTCTTTGACCATGTTATAATTCAGTGATTTCTTACTTTTATAAAGGAAGAACTCCAAAATTATATATTCGAAAAAATGTTTCGGTACCTTATAAAATTTGGGTTTCCTTGTGAATTTCTATTTTTTTTTTAAGATTGACTACTAATGAGTCATTTGCCACTTTATTTTGTTTAAAATTTTAAAAATTGTAATCTAAAATCTGAATGCATTGAAGGCCTGCTTGTAACAAACTGCCTTATTTTAGACACCTAATTGCATCTGTCTCCTTTTTCTTAAATTTATAACGCTATTTTGTTTTCATTCTTCTTTGTTTTATGTAAAACTATATTTAACTTCAAAATCACCTGACATACCTTTGGAAGAGGTGAAGCAGAGATTAGAAATAGTTTTATTGGTAAATGAGAGAATGGTCTTCATAGTAGGTTGCCTCTTGGGTTATTTAAATCCACTTGTTGAAGAAGAGAGAACAAGAGATGCAGTCTGGGCACTGGTCTGTGTTCTATTCTTTACAAAATCTCCATTCTTTTTGTAAGAAAGATGGCCAAGGCTTGGCCAAGGCTACAGAGACAAGATGACAACAAATGCAAATAAAGCATTAATTTAGGGGAGGGAAGAAGGCTAAGCCATACAACTAGTGCAAACCAATGTTTGCCTCAAAGAGATAAAACCTCAGATGGCAATTTCAAAAGCATAGTCATGTTCGGGTTTCAGATAATTATTAGGAAATGCAAGCTCCCAGGCAGGACCAGCTAAATAATTTCCTGGTCCCAGTGCAAAATGAAAATGCAGGGGCACCTTGTTAAAAGTTATTAAGAATTACAGGACAGCTATAAGCAGAACATTAACTCACTCCTCATGTAGCGTCCTTCTAAGTCTGAGGCCTTGTGCAACGTCACCAGTTAAATGCCCATGAAGCTGACTGTGCTCCCAGGTTTTTATTCTTGAGAATGTTGTGTTGCTATATGGATTTGAATCACCAGATAATGCCATTTTTTTCTCCACAATGGCTATATTAACATTTGAGCCATGAGTTTCTTCACTGATTTATTCTTCAAAGATCATATGTAATCAATAAATTTTATGAATATTTGGTATTTTAAATCAATAACATTTGGTCAAAATATATATTTTAATGGTATATGCCATTTTATACACAGACCAACAGTTTAAAAATGCTTGAAAAAATCTATAAAGTTCTTGTTCTATTTTCTAACATGGGAGCTTAAACTTTAAAAACATGTTGATTTTCAAAAGATTAAATTTCCATAAATTATCTGAATTCTTCTCTACCTAATTCTAAAATTATCCTACAGTTGTTTTAGTGAACATTTGA